TGCAAGATCAGTTGAGCACGTACCTCTGTCTGAGTATCGAGCATTCCGATGAGGTATTGACTTTGATAGTTCTTCCGATAGCAATGGCGATGGAAGAAGATAGTCGTGGGTAAAGCTAGGTGTATGGAAGCAACCAAGTACCATTGCAGTGACCGCAAACAATTCAATGATTTTTTTTGATTGCTAGTTATAATCCATCATTGTTGATGCTAGATAGTCATTGCCACGTTTGTTTTCTAGAGGTGAGTGTGTCCCGCAAAAGCAAACCAATTGTTGACAAAGAAATATTCAGTTTCTTCATACAGTGCACTGCTGATGACAGCGGTTGCTGAAGTCGTTCACTTGCCCCTTCACGTAGAAGTTAGTATCGCCCAGTTATGATCGCTATGTGGGTTTGGAAAATTTGCGCGCATAATTTTCTACCGTTATGCATTGATTGCATAGGAAATATTTCAGATGGTTATCACACCTGCGAATGTGTGTGGGCGTTTACTTTGACTACAATTTTTCGGATTTTCTGTCTAGTAAAAGGATTCCTATTCAACTAATCTTCCATAAACTTTTGAAGAGGTGCCGGTATGAGGTTCATCCCTACTAATTCCTTCACACAACCCCAACCACTAGTAATTCCTCCATTCAATACATATTCCTTATTCCTCTTCCTCTTTAATTTCTCGTTTTGCTTCATAGTGGTTACATCACAACTTTTATTATCGATTCATCCCCTTGATCATGGTGGTTTCGTTCTTGCCTCTTTACTGAACACAAATACTGAGTTTTAGAAACACTTTTACACAAAGCTTTCCATTACAGGGTCTATCTCTGGTTGGATTTCGCGAAAGTAAAATTTAAAGTGGATAGAAAAAGATGAATACGTCGGAAAAATCATAACAAAATTCTTCTAGATCTTAGCCAATGAAACTAGTCCCGTTGGGGAAGGTTACGCTTGATACAGGGATTTTAGAAATATTTCTTTTGAAAAGAATGTTAAGAATATCAAGGTGCCTGGGTGCCACATCGGCATCGTTGTACAGAGTATCTCTCAGATGATTGTGCTTAGAAAATTTGTTCAAATGTTTCAAAATTCTAATGAAGTCGTATGTATAGGGCTGTATAGTCAAGTGGAAAACGGGGTACGGACCATTTGTTGTGGTTTTTTTATTTGTTATGTTTCCTTCCCTCGTACTCATACCATAGCAGAATGAGTCCGTGGTGGACACGGTTGTTTAAAACTCATTTTATATGCACCTTTTAAAAAAGATTTTTCCCTCCCTCAAGAAAGGATCTAAAGGTTGTCGTGGGACCGGAGACTTACAGTGACCGCCGCAAAGAATCCTTAGCTTGAGCAAAAGCGGGGATCCTCTTTTTTCTGTATTGGTTGGTCTGGGGTTTCCTCGGTTGAATAATCAGAAATGTGTTTTCCAAGCTCTAGAAGTGTTATATGAGGTGTAGGAACTGTGTTTTGCGAAAAAACTTGATTCTGAGGCATTCTCATGGTTTAAGGGTCATTTGCAATTAGTCTAAAGGACATGGGCTCGATTAACGATTCCAGACCACACCCGGTGTCCACAACGATTCCGGAACAATATTGTGGCCCAATACGGTACAACTAATATCAGTATGCGACATACATTAGTGAAGCGGCGACCTTTTATTTTCCTACCAAAATAAATTAACGATTACACTGTTTACTGTTCAATTTCCCTGATAAAAGATTATCATATCAGACAGTTATCTATGGTCTGCGATCGCGTACTGCATAGCGTGCCACTCTCACCGCACTCGTAGGAGTGCAGTTTAGCGATAAGATTTGAATTTGCAATGGATGTTTACGGTAATGGCCGCGAAACCAATGCCGCGCGCGTGCCTGCAACCGTGGGAGTTTGGGTATAGAGGCCCCCAACCGCGTGCGATCCACGTGATCAGCGCATGGCATAAGACGAAATGGGACCAACTCCTTAGGGTAATTTCCGACCCTACCCATACTACAGAGGCAGTACTTGTTTTGTATCCTGTCGGCCACCATAACTATAGCCGGGATTGTCCATCGATTCCGAGGCTATCTCATCAGACTAAGATCAGGTGATCCTCCAAACTTGAGCGTAGGTCTTGGTATAAAATTTTTTTCAGAATAGATCTTTTAAATAGCGTGAAGCACCATCTTGCGAACTTGAAGCTGAGTTAGTAGTATAATCCGTTTGAGAGAAACGATTTGAACTGATTTATAACGAAAAAAGGTGTGAAACGAAAATTTGTTTTTCCGTGTAAATTCAAGATTCCCTTGGGAGGGTATTTCTTGAATACCGATAGATTTGATGCGCATGGGTACGGGTACTTTGGTGGGTCCGGGGATGCCTTCGGTGAACTGCGCACCGAAATTCATGGTGATTTGGACGACTCGGCGTTTATCTCCCTGACGTAAAGCATGTTCACAAAACATCGACGAGGCCCAGAGTGAGGCCCAGAGTTGAAGCTGTTCATAAGTAAGCACATCGATTTGATCAATATAAGGAAATCATTATTTATTCGGCGCTCAATTTCCCGCATGCTTCTCCAGACGCATCAATGCCCCTTCCCCCGGTGTGCATTTTACAAATATAGGGTTTATTTCTGCTAAATGAGTGGTGAGCAGTCTTTTCACAAATTTTATTTAACAGAACTTGATATTTTTCTTATTAGAACATCGATAGAATGAAAGTATGGGATTTTCGAGCCTTCTGACACTATGAATACGGAACGGAGCTCCTAACAGTGAAGTATACGAGTCGAATAAGTATAGGAGAACTATTGAAGCTAAAACTCACGGGTGGTGAAAGAACCGTGCCGCTATACTTTTGGAAACTTCGACGTCAACCTTGTGGTGACGATGATTCGGGATCAGGGCTATTGCGTTGAGGATCAGTGCGATTAACAATGATTATAGACCAGAATTCCAAGATTAAGATTATGAGGGAGACGGACAGTAGGGACGGTTCTGTGTAATCGATCCGCCGCACGCGGCTGTCGCGGTCCATTTGCCTCGTTATAACGGTTCTAGCGTTCTTCATACAGCTCAATCGCTTTGCGATTATCACTTATGGCATAATTTTACTATTACTTCTTTTGTTCTTGTATTTCTTACCCACCGTTGCATCCTGCTACATTCCTTCGCGCGCGGCGTCGCTCTTGCCGCCACGCGACGATTTCTACGTTGCTACTGCACCACATCCAAGATCTGCTAGTGTCAGAGTTGGTTCTTGGAAAATTTCGACGGTCATGCCTTTCACCAATATTTTTTTAGATCAATTGCATGTTTTTGAAAACTTGTTGATTGTACGCGCGCATAATTACCGATCAATTCTGCCTAGGCCAATCGATAAGTTCACGAATGAATTCAGGTAACCGAAGTGGAATAAGTTACGTGAAATAATTTGAACTGCTTTATTTGAAGAACCACGCTGGCTGGTGTATGCCTTTTTGTTTGCCAAACTGGTTTCACACAAACGGGAAATTCTCGGTCGCATAGAGGCAGTATGAAGTACTGCTCAGAGGAGCAAATAGATGAAACTGAAACTTGTATATCGACGCTCGGTTGTATCCCAACTGGCTCTATTTCATCTCTTTTCAAAATTGTTCGAATCCATTCGGGGCGTTCCGTCCCCCAACCACATCCTGGCGAAATTCTCTACTCATGCTGAACATTCGTTAGCAAAATTCTTGAAATATCTATATGTTTCAAAGAACCAAAAGAGATTCTGTAGAGTATTTACTCTTCATGTGTAACCATTCATTGCCAAAAAGCAGGCCGGGCAGGAGCCCACAGTGCGTCTGGGTGAGTCATGCATGTATTGCGGCATTTACATCACGTCCCTTGAAAGGGTAGCCTACCACGCATGTTATGAATTCCTGGAATGAACTCCCTGGCATCATTCTGTGACCCCACTCCATCCAATTAATCCTAGAAGTTTAGAGTAAAGTTTAATCATAAACCACAAACGATTCCCATGTTTCAAATTTCAAATGACCCCGTTAGTAAAATCGTTGGAACAGGGTAAGAGAACCAGAAAAGGTTCTTGATATGGGTAAGGGTGACCATCTGCAAGGGGAGAACCCTTATTTCCTTCGTGTCTACTTCCTCTGCGTCCCTTTTTGATTTTTAATTCAGACGCATGTTGGGTCCACCCATAATGACTGACAACATGACTAAATTGGAACATGTTGTTCCCACAGTTCCGATTACATGTGGGCTTGAATTCTTCTCAATTTCCCCACAGTTACAGGCTACAACAAGCCCCGACGGGACGCATTCACCCCCACCATCCCGATGAGTCATTCTGAATCGACGCGTGTTTCACAACACACACACGTCGATGCCGATGTCGGCAGTTTTGCGTTCACCGCCATGCCCCGCCCCTTTTGGGGTTTCCCGCCGACGAGGCGATTTGAAATGGGCCAATCAGCGGCGTCGCGCACGTTCCGACACGCCGTATTTAGCTGGGAGAGGGCGTGGCGAGCAGTCGGCGATCGTTATGTCCGCGGTTGCGGCAGCTGGGCGGCGGCGGGTGGCCGTTGGCGGTCAGCACCCCTTTGCTGGCTGAGCTCCATGCGGGGCGGCAGTGCGCACAGTGTTCCCCAACGGGTGTGCTCATTTGGCAATTGCAGTTTAAGCAGTTCTCCTTGCTGACTTTCCAGTTTTGTTCATTTTAATGTGCATTGCTGTGACGTATTGGTTCCTTCCTTTTTTCCGCAACTTTCCCATACTTCCCTTCGTTTGGTATTGCACCAGCTGTTAAAGCTGAAGTGATTTGTTTCGAGTCTTAGAAGAGAACTACATTGGTTTCCATTCATTGCTAGCTTTCTTTCGTCCATTTGCTAAATCTTGGAACGAAGAGGCTCCAATTCTGCCCAACAATCGTCATTTGCTCGCTCGTCATTGTTTTTTATCTGCTTGTCGTTGTTTTGACTGATTTTAACAATATTCAGTTTTGTGCGACCAAGTTGATCACTAGATTCAGGCAAAAATGTGTGACGATGATGTAGCAGCTCTCGTGGTAGACAATGGTTCTGGGATGTGCAAAGCGGGATTTGCGGGCGATGATGCTCCCAGAGCTGTCTTTCCCTCAATCGTTGGTCGCCCACGACATCAAGGTGTCATGGTTGGAATGGGTCAGAAGGATTCTTACGTCGGTGACGAGGCTCAGTCAAAGAGAGGTAGATTGACGATAGTCAAGGGACGTAGTAGCTGCGAAAAGGGCATCAACTCGATTCCATTATGTTATAGGTATTTTGACGCTGAAATACCCTATCGAACATGGAATCGTGACCAACTGGGATGATATGGAGAAAATCTGGCACCATACCTTCTACAACGAGCTGCGTGTCGCACCGGAGGAGCATCCTGTTCTTTTGACGGAAGCTCCTCTCAATCCAAAGGCAAATCGCGAGAAGATGACCCAGGTACGAGCTCTGTTTTCATTTTGAAATGCTGATATCAAGCTCGGAGTATAGAATATTCAACGAGCGCTTATCTAGTCTATATCGCTGCGGTCAGCTCGTTTTTGTTTACGACATTTCTGCAAAAGTTCTTCGTTAATAAAATGTACTGTAAGCAAGACCCTCATCTATGTATAGTGGGGCACTAGAACTGCTGAGAAGGTGAAGCTAGCTCATAATCCTCTTTCAGACTCCGTTGTTTACTCTCTTGTCAATACGCTGCGCTGTGAACTTAGGCAGACGTAATGTAATGAATTCGGTGTTGTCCATTCTTTAGATGACTTTCCATGGGTGATGATCAATCCGTGATAGTGCCTTCGAATGTGATCCGTTTATTATTAAACCTCGATCGAACGATTGAATATGCGCATACGCGCAATGCATTTTCGTTGCATGAAAAGTCACTGACTCCTTCATTTTGCGTTATTTATGAGAACGCGGGACAATCGGAGGGGTATTTGTAGGAATGGCTACGATTATTGGGCACCTAGGGAGGTGTCGCTTGAATCCAAATTCTTGCTACTTTCCAAAACTGGCCCCTTTTTCATCCAGTCCTTCGTAGAAAAGTTTAGTGGAATTTCATCCACTAAAGGGTGGAATAAGGCTGAGTTTCTACTTGAGGAGCAAATGGAAGGAATCTCAAGTTTTGGTCGTTTCTTGATCTCAGGGAAAGGGTAGTAATCGATAACAATATTTTCTCAATCGTGTTTTATTTATAGCCACCTGGCTGCAGTTGTGCGGCAAACGGTGCGTGACTGTGGTGCGTCGACTGTCGTTGTCGGCCAATCAATGTGACAAACGTTGATCCGATTATATCTATGTGGGGCAGTAGCGAACAAATAAAACCGGGAAAATCGCCTCATCTCATTCGTATTTCTTTCATTACAGAAGTTATGAATTTGAGAATCGATAAGGATCCATGGGCATTGGTGAAAGCATTCAATTAAGGAGCTAATGAAATTTTTTTGAGAATAGTATTGAGAGTAGTTTACAAACCAGTATTTTGCAGATTATGTTCGAAACATTCAACACTCCTGCAATGTACGTAGCTATTCAAGCTGTGTTGTCGTTGTACGCATCAGGACGTACGACTGGTATAGTCTTGGATACAGGAGATGGAGTGACTCACACTGTACCCATTTATGAGGTATTTGCTCTTCTGGCATTTGTACTCAGTCCTTTTCTCTAATCACTAATGACTACATTGAAAAGCTAATTAAAATGAAGATGTGGCGTTGTTAAGGGATATGCTTTACCGCATGCTATTCTGCGTCTGGACTTAGCAGGTCGTGATCTGACTGACTACATGATGAAGATTCTGACGGAGAGAGGCTATTCTTTCACAACCACTGCCGAGAGGGAAATCGTTAGAGATATCAAAGTCAGTTTATCGTATCTATGCTAAAGGCGGCTGTCATCAATTCAAAAATGTTGAAGGAGAAACTTTGTTATGTCGCGTTGGACTTTGAGCAAGAGATGGCTACCGCTGCATCGTCGTCATCTCTTGAAAAGAGTTATGAGCTCCCTGACGGACAGGTAAAAATATATCTTTTTAATTGGGTTTCAGGTCTATTCTGAGATGATTGAGATTATCTCCAGGTCATCACCATTGGTAACGAAAGGTTCCGATGTCCCGAGGCGTTGTTCCAACCATCTTTCCTTGGCATGGAATCTACTGGAATCCACGAAACCACATATAATTCCATTATGAAGTGTGATGTCGACATCCGAAAGGTAAAAATCAAGTGGTGGCCTTGAAAACGTAATTTCGCGATCCCTAGCTTTCATGTTTTCCTTTCCATTCAGGACTTATATGCGAACACTGTTCTCTCTGGTGGTACATCGATGTTCCCTGGAATTGCTGATCGAATGCAGAAGGAAATTACTAATCTCGCACCGAGGTTATTTGTTTAAACGTGGATTTTATCCATGCTTGTTATTTCCTGACTTGCTGGAACTTTTGTCAATAACTGAGCTCGGTAGAGAACCTAGAGGCTTGTGTTCCTAAGCAGCTTTGTTAGTTATACTAAAATGAAGATGCTGTCTTTCGAGAACTTTTTCAGCACGATGAAGATCAAGATCATTGCTCCTCCTGAGCGCAAGTACTCGGTATGGATCGGTGGTTCTATTCTCGCTTCCTTGTCTACGTTCCAACAGATGTGGATCTCAAAGCAAGAATACGACGAATCTGGGCCATCTATTGTCCACCGCAAGTGCTTCTGAGTATGCTCCCGTTAGTTTACGGAATCGTGCGCCAGTCTCGTTATCTTGTCTTTTCACCGTGCAAATACAGCTCATCTTTTCCTATTTTCCAATTCCGAACCATAAAACACGTGGTAAGGTTAATGCTTCTGATATCTGTTTCCTTGCTTGGCGACATAATTTATGAATTGTTCTCTTTTGTAGCCTGATGACTTTTGAATTTCTGTTCTCGTGTTGATTATAGCTCCAAGTTTGTTTCTTCTCATTCCGAAGATCTATTAATAAAAATGAATACATATTGGTGACCTAGCAACATGTAACTTTCAACAATGGATGGAAGACATTCGTGTAATTCTTTGTAGGAGGTGGGTGTAACGCCTTCTATACGAGGAATCTACTGGACCATTAAAATTGTGGCGGCTACTCAAGTCTCCACAGTGGCGAATCGATCCACCTCCTTCCTCTGCGATGTATTCCTATTCGTACTAAGCTTCTTTGCGGCCGGCTATATTTACCAAGAGTAGCTTCCTTGCCCAGAAATCAACAACAAGTAATGCCGGAGCGGCCCTTCACTTAGAGGCACAGTTCACATTAAAAAAAGGTTTCTGAGATTTATCCCTCTTGTAAAACTATGACCCTCAAAGACAGACTATGGGGCACTGCTGGGTTGAAAAACGAATGAAGATAGTATGCAGTGAGGTCCCCAAAACTGGATTAGCCGACGTGCACACCCAAGACAGACGAGTTCTCAAGCGTTCTCGAAGATGTTGCGCTATTCGCATCGGGACGCACATCTTGCACGCAGACAGCTTACTGCAGCCAGTAATATGCAGTGACACATTCGAATAGGTCGTCGAAATATCGCCATTCAAAGTCTGCACTCACATTCTCGTCCAACTTCTGATTTTACTTCTTTTTATAAACCTAGTATTTCTCTAAGTACGCAAGTTTTCGCGCTTTCTCGGCCTTTTTTGGACTATTTTAGACTAACACTTGCATTATTCATGTAAAACTGTGTACATACTCCAGAAATCATCGTGAACTCTGCTTGCAAATGACTGATTGTGACGTTTCAGGTAAGTTTGGGTAAAAAGGCGGTTCACCATATATACTCCCCTAAATGCCTCGTAAAACATTAATGGGAGTTCACTAGCAGAGGAAAAGTTTTATGGTCTTATAACAGAATTATTTCTGAGCAGGGTTTGCGCCTTCCGAATATTGCTTTATTCATATATTAATATGGGAATTACTTGTGCAACAAGTAGCGCCATCCGACAGGAAGTATGAAGGTATAACCACGAACTAGCAGTGGGATTGAATGTTACCCTTTTGTAAGCTCAGGCAAAGCACATCCAATGCCCAGATCCAGTTTGAGGTACCCGCTTATCAAGATGACTTCAGAGTTTCCACCGGCCCCTGTGATATTGCACAGTAGCCGTGGATATGTTTTTAGGGCCATAGTTTCTCCGACAACCTTAGCAAGTCAACTTTTCTGCTTTCTAAGAGAATCGCTCTTCAAAATGCCGAGTGGAAGATAAGTTGTACCACTCGATACTGTTCGGATTCCGTCGTGGTCAGCGAGACCTTCTAACACTGAAAAAAACTGTACTCCAACAGGTAGTTGCTCCTGCAAATCATTCTTATGCGTTTACGATCCATCGTCAATGAAATTTAACTGAAGTGGTTTGCATCTAGCCTTTGAAGTGAGCAGGAAGTGATCACCATCCTTCTCTTCATATCCCCTAAAGTCTGTAATCCAAGGACCAGTAGTTACTATGCTGATTAATGTGCAAGCAAGATCAAGGAGTATGGTGAAGTACATCATTTCCACGGCAGGAGTGGGGAGGAGACGGTAGTCGGATCGATCAAGGATAGTGACCTTACAGCATTTCAGTCTTTTTCACTGGCTCTTCAGAGCTATTCCTGTACAAAATAATGGAACGTGTGGCTGATTAGCTGTTGTTTAGTGTTTGGCCGTTGTAATTGCTCTCAAAAATAAGGGGTAAGAAACGAGCATCTTTCAAAGTATGATCTAAATGAATGTCATAGCTTTGAAATGGACGGAAATCAAATTGGAACAATTTGAATCGGAAGGCAGAAGACAGCCCATATTGTTAAACGTTACTCATGAGCTTTGGAAAGGTTCTTCTCATCCTGTTTTACATATTATTACGGTATATTATTTTGGTGGTAAAGTCTTGAGTTGTTCGAAAGAAGCAGCAGAACAGTCCTTAAAGTGGAAGTCTGATATGCCGGCGTTGAGTTCAGTAGTTGGAAGTTGGAAAATCTTCTCGAAACGGTGAAGGGGGATAGAACTTCAGCATAATATTATCGGGATTCCTAACACCTAGGAGGTTATCCTAACTATCGACAATAGTTTGGACCAGGCCTGAATTCTCATAACGCGGCACGGGTTTAGTGGTGTCCTTTATGTTCAACAGGGCTACAGTAAACTCAAGGGGAAGGTGCTGGGGAGCGTTGAAACCGGTGATGCTTTACAGCAGCGATTGCTGGCCCGTGATCTGAAAACATGAAGAGCAACTCATTCTGCTTGACCAGGATGTTCAGACCGATTACAAGTATTTTTACTTCTTAAGGGCGCAGATAACGGAAGTGATGCTGCAGGGTAGTGCATCGAAGGCGAAAAAAGCGTGAATATCCGCAGATTTTGGGAAATAATAAATATGAAGCTTCTTAAAAGTAGTGAAAATTGGGGTATGTAGATTAAGTTGAGGAAAAGACCATGGAACTGGTATTTGAACGAAATTTCAGGCTATGCTTTTGTGTGAATGGGTGGCTACAGTAAACCAAAACACAGAAAGCTGCCTTCCACTGGCGCCGTCTGTCACGACTAGTTGTTTGAATTATGTACTTGTACGCCGTGAATGTTGCAGTCCTTATAAAACCTTTGAAACTTGTATAGCTTTGAATGTAGACGTCGATGATGCCAGTCTTTGAGATCTTATTGCGGCCTATCTTGAACGTATTTTGATGAGGCAGCGCCCCATATGGCACAGGGGTGGGGGTGCATTTTCTTGGAGATCTCAGGAATCATTTGAGTTGAACTGTACCTCTGATCTCAAGGGTAGCTGCGTGGTCTCATTGGCTGCTTTCATAGTCCGCCGGCCGGCCGGCGTGCCGGCGGAGGCAGTGCTAGAGGGGAGGAGGGAGGCAGACAGTGTAAGGCAAACAGTCCACGCCCCTTCGAAGCTTGTTTGTTTTCAACCCCTCGAAGGGGCGTGGACTCTTTGCCTATCTGTCTGCCTCCCTCCTCCCCGCTAGCACTGCCTCCACGCCGGCACGCCGGCACGCCGGCGGACTATGAAAGCAGCCATTGTGGTTCAATGTGCGGTACCATTGGTCTATCCACGGGCTACGGATTTGGCTTGAAGGGGAGGTGCAACGCCCCATGAGCATGCTTTCTTCATAATTTCTATTGGGACTCTCAGTTCTATTTGTGAATTCCTGTGCAGAAAAGTTTTTTCTGCTCCCCACGAATAGGGAAAACCATGTAGATTTTCTTAAAGATCTTGTTTCGATCATATGAAAATACTCGCCTTTGTAGTTCAGAATGGGGAGTGGTGGACATCTGCCAAACTCAGCCATGAAATTAGAAAAAAACGTAGATGGGAATAAAGTGAGATCAAAGTGTTCTAAAAATGAAAGGCGGAGACTTCGTGAAAGGCGGTGCTGTTCATCTCGCTCTTGGGATGCGACGCATTCGACTTTCATCAGAATCGTAGTGGCGTTCCAGCTGCTATGAGTATGGGCTGCACATGTTCTTCTAGTAGCCAGCTAATGGGTGTTGGAGAAAAAGTTCTATGTGACAAAGGTATGTGGCCTCGATACAAGAACAAAAACATAACGAAACCACAAATCGATAGACTCACCAGTCTTTTTTTGACATGCAATGAATGAGGTTGTTTATACTGCTTTACTGATTCTTTCCCTAGAAGGCATCATTGCTGCTCTCTGCTTACCTATGCTGTTGTACTGCCTGTTGCTGAGCTAACATCGTTGAACCAAAACCGTCCATTGGTCTTCAATGGGGTTACAGTCAGAAGGAGGTGCTCAACCATTCTAACATCATTACTCCTGAGTAGAACGAGAGTCATGGTCATTAGCATTGTTTTGCCACAAAACACGAGTCCTTATGTACCGCTCACCTCTCAGGAATGGCAAAGGTGAAGCTCCACCTCATCTTAATATTCCTGACTCTTCATACGGCAAGGTGAAAAGACGAGCTCCAGTTTCCTTCCGCTTCTAAATCTACCGTAAACCCTTATAACTGCTGATCGAAGTTCCTCGTCGAGAAAACTAGCGGCTCGCGACCAACGTTCCTGCAGTAGCAACGAGATCTAATCGAACCACAGTGTTAATTTTTTTCGTTTAAGAACATAAGCTGAACAGAAAATATGCATCAGATGTCGCATATTCAGCATCCACTCAGTTCTCAAGAAACTGTACTTTTTTCATGATGTGTCCATGAGCTCACGAGCGAATTCCAATCTCAAGCATTTGCGGTGTGAACGGGCAACGAACTTTCTCCAAAGTCTAACGTGTTAGATGCTCATTTGATCGTATGGAAAATCCTACTATATGTAATTCGCCAGTGTGTCTGTTGGGTTGTCGGTGTGTTTGTTTGTTTGTTTGTGTGTGTTGTGTGTGTGTCGGTGTGTGTGTTTGACCGGTAATTCATATACCCAGAGCGTTAAAATTTGGTAGAAGTACAGGAGGAAGGATGGGAACACTCATGGCAGGTGAAAGGACCAGACCATGCCCACACTGGGCGGGTTGTGCGTTTTTTTTGTGTGTTTTTCGTAAATTCATAACTCATGTTTACGAGGATCTGGAGCGTTGGAATTTGTTAGGGTTACACTTTTCGTGTTAAGAATGGGATCTCGGCATTTTAATAGGTGATGTAGGATATGACGGGATCGTAGGTGCTCTCTGACAGGAACTCATAATAACCAAGAGGGGATAAGGAGCCAAAGAGAAGCCACATACCGACCAAAATTCTA